CCACTTTGGAAAACAATTTGGTATTTTTCAGTAAAGTTGAAGGTGCGCATACTCTAAGACTCCAAAATTCTTCTCTTATGCACTTATCCTAGAGAAACTGTTTGCAGCAGGATGCACATATAAGAATGTTCAAAGTAGCACTGTTTAAAATAGTGTAAAATTGGAAATGACCCAAATGTCCATTGAGCAGTGACTGAATACTGTCATAAAATGTGGCATGTTCATACAATGCAAGACCAGATAGCAGTGGAGATAAGTGAACTTCATGTATGTCACTTCATGCACCAACAGAGATGAATCTTTAAAAAGATACTCGATCGGGGTGCCTGGGTGGCTTAGTCAGTTAAGCATCCAACTCTTGATATCAGCTCAGGTTGTGATCTCACGGCTGTGGGATTAAGTCCCCTGGTGGGCTCTATGCTGAGCGTGGGGCCTGCTTGGGATTTTCTCTCTCTCTCCCCCTCTTCCTCTCGTGCTTACGCTCTCTTTCTCTCTCTCTCTCTCAAAATAAATATACATTAAAAAAAAAACCCAAAAAATTGAAAAAAAAAGCAATTGGTATAAGAATTCCACACACACACACACACACATATACATACACACACAGCCCAAGACAAATAAAACTTAGTAATAGATTACATAGGGAAACATACTTACACAGAAAAGGCAGGAAATGACAAACACAAAATTCAGAACAGTGGTACCACAGAGAGGGGTATGGCCAGGGAGGAACACATAGGGATTTGCAAAATACTGGTGATATTCCAGTTCTTATGCTGCGGGATGGGTACCAGGTGTTGTATTTCTCTTACTCTCTCTTTCCCTCCACTCCACTCTCTGTGTATGCATATAATGGATGGACACACACACACACACACACTTCTTTGTATGCATATATATATATTCCTTTGTAGACATCATCATCATCATCATCCATGTTACTCTGAGCCCTGGACCCACCTTCCTTAGCGCCTCCTCCCTGGCATTCTGACCCTGTGTGGAGCCCTCAGCTCAGACCTTTGTCTTAGACTTGAGTGCTTTCTCTGTCCAACTCCAATCAAACATGACAACCACTGAAGACCCAACATGGTGTCCTTTATTCTCTATACAGACTCACATGGAGCATTCATCCAGGCCCACCATTGATGGTCAGGTAAACTCTGTGGTAATGCCTCGCTCAGAAGGTGGTGTCAATTGCACTGCAGGGGGACCTGAAACACCACTCAGAGTGCAATGGCTCTTTGCTCTGTTATAGCAAGGAGTTCAAGGCAGTTCTAGCAGTGCTCGCCTCGATCTCCTACACCTGACCCAACCACAGGGTGTCTGTGTTCCTGGGAAGCTTATCAAGTTTCCCCCACTGCGTTGCTGCTAAGCAGCCCGACTTCCCCAAGCCACCCTTTCTTCCTTCCTCCAAAATAATTTCAATTCCACCCATCTCTCAGACACCCAGGCTCCCAACCTTAACAATAGTTCTGCATCTTCTTACCTCTTTTAAGGGTGGGCTCTGAGATTACTTTTCTGCTCTAACTGCAGTTAGAAGACCTCCTCAGGAGCCCCTGATCTTGGTACCATGGCCTTAATTTAGACAAAATAAGAATTCTTATTGAATTTATTCTACTTAAGTAATGTTTAAGCTACAAGTTTTACCTATTTCCTACTCAAAAATCAAAACTGATAAATTATTTCAAAAGCAATTGAATTTGGCAAACAGTTGTTTTTGTTTATAACACTGGTTCTTCTCCCTTATTTAAGTAGACTACTTGTGGAAAAAATACCTAAATTTTAACCACTGTCCTAGAGATCTGAGTTTAGGAGACTTGATTTTCTTCAGAAATGTTTCATACCATCTGTAGTGTAACATAAAAAAAAAGTCTCCATTTTCACTTTAATGGGACAATTTTCATTTGATCACAGAAAACATGCTAGGTGAGGAATGAATATGAAAAAAAATCACAAGAAAAGTCAGGAAAGGTTGGTTTATGCAAAGAGGTGCTGGGATACCGTGAAGCAAACCCTACCCTCAGCCCATGAGGGGCACGACACTATGATACAGTCAGGAGGCCGAGCTCCATGGATGTCTCAACAGCGGATGCTGAATTCAGCAATAAACATTGGAACTGAAACACAGGTCTGAACTTCCAAGCCAGCAAAGGGGATTCCAAAGTGAAAGGTAACAACCTGACTCAGATCTGCAATGGGAGAAGAGAAACAAACAAAAAAAAAAGAGGCCCTTTGGAGAAAAGCATCAGAGTTGGCCCAAGTCCATCAATTTGGGCAAAGAGAGCTTTCAATAATCATGGAGCCAGGAGATACAGTGATATAAGAGAAAACACAAAACTCTTGTCATTCGCCACTCAAATTTGAATAGAGATACAGCAATGGATACTTATGGGTTAAAGCATCAGGTAAAATACCGGCTGCCTAAATTTACATACAAACAAGCCGATGGCATGCAGTGATTTGGGCTTTTGCCCCCAAAAGAAAATATAAAACAATTTCTACATTCCAACAAAGAGCAAGTGATTTAAAAAAATTTTTAATGTTTATATATTTTTGAGAGAGACAGACAGAGATTGAGCAGGGGAGGGGCAGAGAGAGAGGGTTTAAAAAAAATTTTTTTTAATGTTCAAAGAGCAAGTGATTTTATTTTTTTTCATTTTTTAATTTTTATATTTTTTTAAATATATGAAATTTATTGTCAAATTGGTTTCCATACAACACCCAGTGCTCATCCCAAAAGATGCCCTCTTCAATACCCATCACCTACCCTCCCCGCGCTCCCAAAAGAGCAAGTGATTTTAATCATGCTCTATGGTATTTACCCAAAGGAGCTGAAAACTTACGTCTGTGCAAAAACCTCTACACAGATGTTTATAGAGTGTCTTTATTCATAATTGCCAAAATTTAGAAGCAGCCAAAATGTTCTACAGGAGGTGAATGGATAAATAAACTGTGGTATATCCAGACAATAGAATATTATTCAGTGTTAAAAAGACATGGGCTACCAAGCCATGAAAAGACATGGAGAGAATTTAAATGCATATAACTAAGTGAAAGAAATCAATCTGAAAAGGCTACATAGTGTAGGATTCCAAATACATGACATTCTGTAAAAGCCCAACCACAGACACAGTAAATAAAGATCACTGGTTGCCAGAAGTTAGGGGCAAGGGAAGGATGGACAGGCAGAGCACAGAGGATTGTTAAGGAAGTGAAAATACTCAGTCTAATGGTGACTACACATGATTGTACATTTATCCAAGCCCATAGAGCATATAACACCAAGACTGAACCCTAATGTAAACTATGGACTTGGGGTGATAATGATGTGTGTATGTAGGTTTATCAACTATAACAACTGTACCACTCTGGTGGGGATGTTGACAGTAGGGGACACTGTGCATGTGTGGGGGCAGGCGTATATGAGAAATCTCTGGGCTTTCCCTTCAATTTTACTGTGAACTGCTCAAAAAAGTAAAGCCTATTAAAAAAAAAAAACCTGAAAAAACAAAAACCAAAAAACAAAACAACAACAACAACAACAACAACAACAACAACAACAAAAAACAAGTGCTTTTTCCTATCTTGATACCTCTTACCCTGTTGGCTCTGAAATTGTTTCTGAAGCTTTTTCCTTCGAAAAACATTATATAACGTCTTGTTGTTTCATTTACTACCAAGAAAACATGGAAGCCTAGCTATATTTTCCTCTAAGCCACTGTAAAAATAGAAGAAAGAAGTTACGGGGCACCTGGGTGGCTCAGTCAGTTAAGCGTCCAACTTTGGCGCAGGTCATGATCTCATGGTTCATGAGTTCGAGCCCCACGTCAGGCTCTGTGCTGACAGCTGGGAGCCTGGAACCTGCTTCAGATTCTGTGTCTCCTTCTCTCTCTCTGCCCCTCCCCTGCTTGTGCTCTGTCTCTCTCTCTCAAAAATAAACAAACATTTAAAAAAAATTTTTTAAAGTTACATGATTGGCTAGTAGCCAATATTTATTAATACCAAATATGAGAAAATACAGTAAATATTATGGTAACTGTCAAAGGTCTTTTTGTTCTTCCAATTCATGGGTCATACATGAAAAACAGCACTCCTGACATTTTGTCAGTGAGGCCTCTCCCATCCCTAAAACTTCACTGTGGATCACCGTGAGGACTTCCAAACTTTGTGAGTAGGTTTCACAAGTTATTTCGTGTTCAATACCTGAGGGCTGTTCAAACTTTTTCCAATGATCAAATTTACTTTTTTGCAATAAGCATCACCCTGATGCACCTCTCTGGTAAAGGAAACAATGTTTTTCTCCCTTATTTAATAACTGTATAATAGGCAAAGTTTTTTAAACTACTGCTTCCCATACCACCCGTTTAGGACTACTTTTCAGAACATTCCTCCAAAGATCAACAAAATCATCTCCCCAACATGCATGCACGCATACACACACACACACACACACACACACACACACACACACACACACACACACAGGTCCCATCTGTTTTATATTACTGTGGCACTAAGTCTTGATGAAGAGCAGTAGAAAAAATAATGTGGAAAGAAATGGGGCTTCCCTGGCCCATTCTTCTAGCCCAAGTCTCTGCCCCATGTCACACCTGGAAGTGACCCGATCCTTGGCCGGTACTGCCCGGAAGAAAGAGGGGACGACAAAAAGACGTTGCTCACTCCCATCTGGGACCCTCCTGTGTCACCCTACCTGCGCCCCGCGGCCCCCCTCAGACACTCACCACTGTTGCACCTCTTCCCTCGACCATCTGCTTCCTGCGCAGCCAGCATCACACGGCTCTTGGGTGGCACAGCAGGACTTACTCAGGCCCCTGAGGCCCACACACTCTTTCCACTACATCATGCTGCCTTGTGACTGACCCTGAAACCACCTCACTTGGTCTTGGCAGTCTTATGTGGAAGGACTATGCAAATAGATGAATTGTTGTCTCACCCCCTTCTTCTGTTAACACAAACGATCCACAGAGCATCCCACTTCCCTTCCTTCACTTTACACGTGGACTACACTCAGTCGTGGTATGTTTCACAACTTAATGAACACCCCTACATCTTCCAAGAAGCAGCCTTATGCACCCAACAGTGGGGCCCGCTCTTCGCAGACCACATAATCGGCAAAGGAGGCCTCTTTAGTAGAGGCTAACCCTAGAAACAAACATTAGGGCTCCACATCTGAATTCGGGCTTCTGGTCTCACCTCAAGAATCACCCACGGGCTAACACCCACAAGCGTGTTACGGAAACCAGGGCTCAGGACTGACACCCGCTGACATCAGTGAGAACAAGCGGGGACGTCCGCCCTCAAAGCTGTGAATAAGCACCCTACCAACTCTCCCTTCCTGAGGCACTGCCCTATCTCAGGGCATTTTCACAGGACTGTCAGAGTAGATTATAGACACAGAGTACCTGGATGTCAGCAAAGCATCTGACAGTCAGTCATTCAAAGCATAGCTGAGTGAGAAGGGAAACTCTGGGCCAAGTGACAGTTCAGTTTGAGGGCCTCAGAGGTAACTGAGCAACCACACCCAGGGGTGCTAACATCACAGAAGAGCAACACTGGCTTGGAGGGAGGTCCTTGCACAGTGGGGCTTTGTAGGTTTATCCCTGGTAACGTTTTCATCGAGATGTGCTTAAGGGGATCACAAATAATTCACGGCTGAGGGGACAATTAATGAGAGGAATGAACGGAGATTTGAAAACATTTCAACAGGCTGGAATACTGCCAAAACTGACCAAAACAACAACCAAAAAAGAACGCAAAGAATTAACAGAGATAAAGCCCTACTTTTAATGGTAAAAAATCATTTGTGCATATATAGGAGGGTGTCATCGCCTGCCCTACACCCTCTAATCTGCTTAGCTGGGACGACTCAGCCCTATTCACAAGTTCTGCCATGGGCCCCTGACCCCAGGCTCTGAGTGGGTGAAGCTCCAGGCCTCAGATACACATCAGTCCTGTGACTCTTGACTTCAGACCGGGGGCTTCCTTTTACTCTCTGGTCTCAAGCTCCTGTCTTGGGCCCTCCCCTGTTTTGGCAGTGGACTCTAACTCGTCTTTCTGGACTCAACTCTTTTCATCAGCCTCCTGGCTGGAGTCTCATCCCTGTACACCAGTGCTCCTATCTACCCCTTGGCCTGCTCAGCTGGCCAGTTCCTCTGCCAGACATCTGTCCACCTAGACTGCCACTGATGGAAGACTTTCTCCAGTTTTATGCCTCACCTAACTGTCTACGTCCTAAGTGCCCCCTGTTTGCTGCTGGTCACATCTCCATAAGCATGCCCCAGCCTGTGGATGTATCTGTTCTGTGAATCCCTATCTGGAATCTACTCAGGGTCCCAAGCTGATCCCATACCGCTACTGATAGAAACTTGGCTCTTCTATCTGGTAGGGGCAAAAGGTAGAGGTTGGAAGCAATTCGTATTTTAAAGTCTTAAGGATTTTTGTTGAACCCACGTTCAGTGCAAGCCGGAAGTGCAACAGAGTGGAGATGTGACCTTGATTCGCCTAAGGGTAACACATAATGATGCAGAAAACACGTGCATCTCACAAGATCCAACAGTTTTGAGATAGTATGGAATAGTATCTCAGTTTTGAGATAGTATGGAATAGCCCTTACCCTATGCTGGGCAAGTTACCTCAGAAGTACTGTTCGTGTCTGAGAGCTATGTTCTTAGAGAGACAATGATACAAAGGGGATACCTCCAGGGGGGTGTAACCAGAACGACGGGATTTCTGATATTAAGTAATGTGAGTACTTGTAAGAACCAGGGCTGCTGGCCGAGAAAAGGGGGATTTGCAGGGATGGAGTTCTCAGGTGCTTCGAGCTGCCACATGAAGGATGGCTGAGGGGCTTATATGGTGAGACAGCTTGGGGTCAGCAGCGGAAGAGGTGGACTGAAGCAGTAAGTGCTGGTCCCATCTCCGCTCCTGACTTGAGTGACCCTGTATCTTGGGCCTCAGTCTCCCCCTAAGACTGGAAGGCTATGATTTTGAAGGCTCCTCCCTGCTCTCAGAGCCCATGATTCTTCATCCTTACATCAACCCCAATCTGAGAAAGAAGATAGGCATGGCTTTGCCTGTTCTGAGGCCTGGGAGACCAGATGGGGTCTTAGGTCTCCTGAGGGGCCCCTTCTAGGAAAATCAACCCCACTGAAATAATGTGTGAAACCAGTGGCAATAAGCTTTATGTTTCAGGAAATGAAAAATGTAGAAATTGTCAAAGAGAAGACAGAGGCAAAAAAATGTCCACTTCTCCTCCCAAAACATTCACTTCCCAATCCCTGCAATCTGTGACTGTCCCCTCACACAGCATGATAGAGTATGATAAAGTTAAGGATCCTGGGAGGAGCAGTTTATCCTGGATTATCCAGTGAGTTCTAAAAGCCATCACAGGCATCCTTACAAGTGGGATGCATGGGAGATGTGACACAGACACACACAGAAGAAGACAATTTGAAGGCGGAGGCAGAGACTGGAGTGATGTGGCCCCAAGTCAAGGGAATGCCTGTAGACACCAGGAGCTGAAAGAGGCAAGCAGTGGGGTTCCTCCAAAGCGTCTGGAGAGGATGCACCCCTGATACCCCAATAGTGGACTCTGACTCCTAAAATCATGACAGAATAAGTCTGTGGTTTTAAGCCATCAAGTTTGGGGTCACCTGCCACGGCAGCCACAGCAAACTAATACTAAGGTTTTCTGCTTGAACTTTTGTTGTAGCCCAGTGTGGGCAGTAATAACCTTCTTTAAGGGCAAAGCTTGAATTTTTATGTATTTTTGATGGCCTATTCCATACTATCTCAAAACAGGTGCAGCTCTGCTTTTAAAAGTGTTTAGGGGCAGTGACAAAGGTATCTTCTAAACCATTCTTTACACATATTTTACTAATAATGTCTCCTCCACAGGATACTTTTGCATATGTCTATGCAAAAGGCAGACAACCAAATGATTCCAGCCTCTACCCAGCAGGCCTGGCTGCAGGGCAAGAGATTATGCAGCCCCTCTCGGCTACAGGAGAAAGCCTACAGAGTTGGTGGGGGGGGCGGTCTTGCTTCTCCATTGTAATGCGGGCTGCTTTTCTCCCAGCAGTGTCCGGCTCCCCCCTTGCAGATGATGAATGCTACTAAGATGAGGACAAGAAAATGAACCCCAGCCTAGGGACAGGCCACAGAGTGTCCTGCAGGCCTCCCTCGGACTGCCATCCCGTAAGTCACTCTCAGGCTGTCACCCCACAGGCACCACCTGGTGGGACCAGGTCAGGTTTAAAGAGGTGGTTCCCCTTTAAGTTTCTAATTTCTTTTTGATCAAAACATCGTTCCTATTTTTAAAACCACACATAAGGGTGAAAGTCCTTTAAATTTAGAGAAGAGAAAATGAAAGATGTGTATGAAATTACCAGTTAAATTACACGAGGCTGGTGATGATTCATTTGTCTTCTGCTCTTTTGGGCTTCAGTACAAGAGAACATCCACTGTGGAGTGGAAACAGAAGGGTGCTCCAGGTCTGAGTGCCACTTGTGGATCCTGTCACTTCTCGATGTGAGTCTTTGGGCAAATCAGGTCATTTCTGTTGAGCTGCATTTCCCTCACATGTAAAACAGGGCAACTGAGGAAGAGAACATGTGGCCTAGGACACTGGGGAGCCCCCAGGTGTTTATTCATGTTCAAGGGACAAAGGAATTATGTGTTCTGCATCCAAGGCTAGACAATTCAACCCTAATGTTTGAACTCGTTCCTTGAGTCACAACATAAATTTTTTTTTATCTGTAGCTCTCCCAATGGTCATCACTGCCTGCCTGAGTTCATAATGTCTAGCAAGAAGGATCTTTTGTGATCTTGGAAATTCAAATTGGCAGAGGGCGTGTTGTTTCTTCTACAGCGGCAGTTTTACAAGCCAGAGATTTATATAAAAGAAAGTTGGTCAGTTATCATGGGTGATGCATAACAACTGCTTTTGGTGCACGACTAAAATTGTTTGCTCTTCAACCTAAAAGAGAACTCTGTGCAAGTTCCTCCCTCCCAAACAACCCCCTCCCTTGCACCCAAGCCATTCCCTTTTCCTGATCCCTGGTCACCCCCAGCCTTTCCTTGGGCATAGAGAGGCTGGTCTTTCCCCATGCCCAATCTCCTCCAAGAGAATGGGTCAATCTGTATGGAGGCTGGGGCAAGGCGTGGCTATGGGAGCCAACTGGGCATCCCATAGGCCCTGGGGCTGGCAACCCTAAGAGTGTGGATCAGAGAAGGCCAAAGAGGGGGAGGGTCCCATCTGTACACCTGGGCTGCCCTCTCCAGTCCCCACACCCACTTAAGGAGCCCTCCCACTCCATTCAGGAAGCAATGGCTTCTACAGAGGGCAGGAAGTTCTCCTGATGGCTGTTCTTCCCTCTTCCTCTTTACTCTTTCTGCCTCCTTATCGAAACCGTGCACAGTGAGACGCTACACCCTGACGCCTCCCCCATACGCATACGTTCTCCCTGAAGACGCAGCCTCATGCCTTCCCCGTAACCAGCATTCTCAAGCCTTGGGACTCCCCACGCAAGCACAGCTGACCTGTTGGCTCCTGGAAGTCCTATTCCTCTTACTAAAGAAGAATCTTGTATTAATTAATCTTTCCACTCTTCTCAACCAGCTATGTAGGAATTGCATACACATGGCTTTAAAGCTTGGTTCCAGATGCAGTCTCAAATTTTGAACCCTCAATTGTTTAGAATCACTTTGGGTTTTGTTTTGTTTTGTTTTGTTTTTTTTTTTTTTACAAAAACTATTAGCTCCACAATAAGAACCTAGGATATTGTTATGACTTCTCTTGGGACTTATTAAAACAAAAGAAATATTGAAAAATGGAGCAACTTCTATGTACATTCTACATTTACAGATAAACACATTTCAAGGAATTCACTGGGGAGAAGGACATGTTCTAAAGCATTCTACTTTCTTTTCTTTTGCATGACAATTTTTACTTGGGGAGGCCACTCTATCAAACAGACAGCAGTATTTGTGGCCATATTTGTGGCCTGAAGGCAGTTATCTAAACCCTGCAAACAGTGGAATAGCAATACAGGGATTCTTGGTCTCACTGAAACTACAGAAAGGACGGTCTCTCTCAAGGCAAGTGCCAAAACACCTTCAATTGTGCAGAACAAAGGCCATGCAGGAAATGTGGAAATCAAACCTCTCTCCTTAGCCCTTTGAAAGTCATTAGGAGCAAAGTGGATGTTATTTTAATCAAAGCCATTTAAATCATGATTTAAATTACCAAAAAAGATAAGCCAATTTAATCAGTTTTTCTTTTTAAAAAGTACATTATTGTCCTTCTGACATAACCTGATTACACATTCTTTAAAATTCAGTTGAGGGGCGCCTGGGTGGCACAGTCGGTTAAGCGTCCGACTTCAGCCAGGTCACGATCTCGCGGTCCGTGAGTTCGAGCCCCACGTCGGGCTCTGGGCTGATGGCTCAGAGCCTGGAGCCTGTTTCCGATTCTGTGTCTCCCTCTCTCTCTGCCCCTCCCCCGTTCATGCTCTGTCTCTCTCTGTCCCAAAAATAAATAAACATTGAAAAAAAAAATTAAAATTCAGTTGAGTATGGGTTTTACTTTTAGAAGATAAACTGTATATATTTAAATCAGTGCTTTATGTAAACGAAACTTGGAAGTGCATCCCTTAATAATTCAAGAAGATTCTCTGCAAAAACAAAAACAAAAACAGTATTACTGGTTCCCTTGTGCTCTTAATGCTCCTCCCTCTTTTATCTTTTGACTGTCTTTGCTTGCACGGAGACTTCACTCTTAAGAACTATCTTAAGATAGTTTCACTTGTCTGCTTGAGACTTTGTATTTTTGAAGAGAAAGCCAAGGAAGTCTTCTCTCCATATAATGCTATTAACAAGCATGGTTTCCAAGATAAAACCTAGAGATGGAGAAGAGAAACGTGATTTCTGGAATACAAAGATTTTTTTACTCTGCCACTTACCAAAGTGGCTTTCAAGGACTCTTATTACCCCCTAATTTGGTTATGTGTCATTCATTCATGCCTGTAGTCAACCTTTTAAGAGGGCATTCTAGAAACCAGGCATTAGGTTTGGCACATGGAAGGATTCAGACCTGACAGAACTTACAATTCAATAGGAACACAGATACCAGACAGTTATTGCACAAATAACTATACAACAATAGCTATGAAGAAGTGCATGGTAGCAGGGCAACCCCATCTAGAATGGGAGAGAGTGTCATGGAAGACTCCTCTAGAAGGTAACACTGCTTTTTCGTTACTCACAAAACTTCTTAAAAAGAGGTCACACAAATATATTGTCTCAAATAGTATCACTTCCAAGGTAAGGTAGGGTATGAGAAAAAGAAGCTCTGGAAACAGATATGATTAGGACCCTTACTATTACCATGGTGCCTCAAGCAACTCATGGTAAGGGATATGGCTGCCTCACAAGAGTGCTGTAATGGTCAAGTGTGATGCATAGAAAGCACTCAGTATGTAGTAAATGCTCAATAAACCATAGATCATAATAATTACAGACTTCATGTTGATTTAGCTTTGAGCTTTGACACATCAAGATAAAGCATATTTTCCATTCATAGTTCTATCTTCACATAAATGTTCAACTGAAAGAGAAAACTCAAAAATACATTTAGAAAAAAAACACACCATGACTTCTGTAATTTTTCTTTCTTGGGTTGGCCAGCAGATATCACTTAATTATACAATGGGGGTACACTCTATTCTAGATTCTTCTTGGCAGATACATAAACACAAACAAAAAGAACAGTTTATACATCTGTGCTCAGCAGCCTTCTATCAGCATTAGAAAAAATTCTGGAATTGGAACTTTTGAATTAGAACTTTTAAAATAGTGAACTCCCCTAGGGTGGTTAAGTGTTTTCCAGGTCATTAGCTACATGACCGACAGGGTACAAAAGGCAGAGTCCTCTGCATGCAGCTCAAATTCACGCAGTCCAAGAAGCATTTCCCACCTCACTTTTAGCTTCTCTCATTCTGAATTCCAGCAGTACTTACAAACACCCAACTCACACGGCAGGGTCCATCACACTGCTCACTCCTTCATCAGATGCTCACTGCTGCCAGTGTTGTGCTTGAGGGTACATTCAATAGACAAGGCTGTGCCTTCAAGGAGCTCCCAAACCCCGGTGGGCCTTATTAAGCATCCTTCAGACTCGTGGCTAACAGCCCTTTATCCTTTTTGGTACAAAGCCCAAGTCAGAAAACAAGTATGTGTGGTTTGTGTTTTTAAGTTAAAAAATGAAGAATTTTACTTGATCCTGGAAAAGGGACCATGTTACTAATGAGAAAAATGGGGCTCACATAGGAGAGAAGATTTGCCTAAGGTCTTAGACCAAGTGAACAGCAGAGCCAAAGCGAGAACCTAATTCATACCACTCGGGACTTCCCACCCCATTTACTGAGCCCTCTTGTCTGCCTGGCATTGGGATGTACTGAGAACAGAATTAACAGACCCACCTCCTCCATTCGCTGGCCCTCCGGGGTTCACCTCCGCTTGAGTGGCGCAAGGCAGGGCAAGCCCTAAAACCTGGAACAGCTCCAGGCATCTCTTAAACTGTCCCCCAGGGTTCTGGCTATTATAGCTGGTCTGCACTACACCACCCTGAGGTGGCTCCTGGTACCCAAAGGCTCTGTGGCCCAGGAGGGCCGCAGTGCTGACCCCCCACCCCACTTATGGAGTGCCTTTGCCAGCCCCTGGCTTCCACAGCCAAAACGCAAGCACACCAGGATTTCAAGAAGGCTCCCCTCCAATCTAGCCCTGAGTAGAGCCTTTCAATTTCCCTGAGTCACGTTGGTTTGTATGAGCTGAAAAGGCCACCACTGATCACAGGCCATTCTGTAGAAAGTAGGGGGCTACGCGGGTCAGAGGTCAGGGGTTGCTCATAATTGTTCTAGAATAAGGTTTCAGTCAGTATACTTCCTCAACTTAAAGGTACACTGACTGAATACAGAATGGCTCTAGTTCAGGGAGAAGAGCCTGTCTTACACACAAATTTAAAACGAGAACCCCAAGTCATTCTTAGATGATGAGGTAGAGCCCCTGAATGGCCAGGGGATGGAAGAATGTAACGCAGACCTGCTGAAAAATTACACCCAAGGCAATGTGACTGGGTAGGGGAGATTAGGGCAGCAAAGGATCCCACGGGTAGCTAGTGAGGCCTGTTAAGGTCCAGCCTTTCTTGGAAACCCAAGGCCTCTGGGAGACGAGAGTAGTACAAGCAGAGAAGCCTGAACCAGTGTTTACAGAAACAGAGTGAGTGGCTCCTTCACACATGCCCTTCATCAGGGAGCTTTTCTGGATGGCCTGGCCTCACTCTGCACTCCCAGAGCCAGAGCCCCTTCCACACAGTTGTAGCACACTGTACAATAATTGCCTGTGTACTTGTCTGTCGAATTCATTTTTGTCTCAACAGATTCCAGCATGGTGCCTAACACCCAGCGGGCATCAAAAAAATGGTAAGTGAATGAAAGAATGACCTGTGACACAGTGACTGTAATTCGAAGGTACAACTAGGGCAGAGGAAAGTAGCAGTCATCTCAGAGGGGAGAAAAACCAAAACCGGATGGACTGAAGGGGACCTTTCTAAATCAGGCTGAAGACAGAGTGCCACCCACCCCTCAGCAGCCCCCTGAAGGCTCATCAGCCATAGGACACCTGTTCCAGCCTATTTCTAGGGTAAGGAGGTACATCTTCTAGCTAAAACACATGTTCCCGTAATTATCAAAACTGAGTGTTACAACCAAGAGAAGGGAGAAAATAGTAGGTTCACCTGAGGCAAGACTTTCTATTTCACATACCAGCTCGCTCCATCTCCAACTTAACCTCTCTTAGAAATCTACAGACTCAAGAGTCACAATCGCCAGTTCAGAGTCACCGAGTCTAGGGTCCCAATGGGACACGCTTTCTAACGCACAAGGCATGTGCTCTCAGTGCAAAACTTGTCAACTTACTTTTTCCACGTCTAGATCAGCATCCTGCTTCTTCAAAAAACTGTAGAAGAAAAAAAAATAGACATCAAAAGAGAACGGAGCGCTCTTTTCCTATAAACCTCTCACAAAGTACCACCATAGAATTTCCATTTGCTGCAGACAATCAATTTGCCCACAACTTTTCTCTCGTTCACACAATTGTTGCTATGTCACAGTTGCCACAAACACCTGCCTGCAACTGCAAAGACCTGGCCCTGTACCATCAAAGGAAGCCAACATGAGATTTTAACTTTCTGAAGCCAGGAAAGATACAGATGGAGGTCTTACACACACACACACACACACGCACGCACGCACGCACGCACGCACGCACACACACACCTTCTTTCCAGTGCCTATAGGTCATCCATAGTTGGGAAACATTAAAAAAAAGAGTCTTCCAAGATCTTGTTCAGCTCACCTCTTGGCTTAAATCTTCCCTTAGCCCCCAACCCACATGTGCCCCACTTCCTGTCTGACTGTGGGTGGGCCTCACTGTCAAAACAGCCTTCTTAGGATGGCCCCTCTTTCCCATCAGCTGGAGTTCCCCTCTCTGGGAGATGTGCCAACCCAGCAGCCTGCACCGACTTGTCCACGGAACTTAGGCCCCAGGAATACCTTAGAACCTTGTGCCAACCCCTGGCAAAGTAGAGTGCTGATTCTGTGGCACCCCTGCCCACTTCACATTAATCTTGAAAGTGCCAGGAGCGGGATGGCACCTTTCCAGTTTGTTCATGCACTCTGCCTGTAACCTGCCAATATTACGGTTCCTCGCTTATTATTTGCAATTTTAGCTGTTGGAACAAAGCTTCAGTTTTAGTATGATGATAAAGAACCAAAATGTTTGAATGGAATTACGTTGACAACAATATGTTAGGGCAGAAAGTAAAAGGTTTGAGGAATGTGAATAAAAAGGCAGCAACAATTTTTCCTCTCTTAGTAGAGACTCACACTTTTTGTCATTATGATTCTTAGCATCCTGGTCCATGGTTTAAAAGACTGCCATCATAAATTACTATCCCCATCAAAACCACCCCTCCCCCCAACACACACAAAAGAATTTTTGCAAAGAATGAATAATTAACAGTAACATCTTTGTTTTGTTTAATCAAAGATGACTCAGAATGAAGGAAAGAAAAAATGACCATGGGGAAGAGCATGAGAAACTCATATATTGTCTTCTGCAGATGGGTATTCAAATCATGAACTGACTGCAGACATGCAGGAGAACCAGCACGAGGTTGCGGGGAGAGAATGTGCTAATGAGCATGCCACTACAGCCCGTACCTTAGCAACCCACATCACCCCATCTCTTCCTTGCTTCTGACACGCTGTCCTGTCCTAAGCAAGGAGATGCCACGAGTCAATATGTGCCTTTCTCCTGGCTAACCCACTAGGGATGCAGACACTGCTGAGCTGTAAAAAATGGGAATCCCCATTGTCTAAAAATGTTAACTAGCCTCCCTATCACCAGCAAAGAGTAATTCAGAATCGGGAGAACTTTTCACCAAAGGGAACAGATATACAGTGGAAGTCTGACTTCCATTCTTGAACACTTCCCTAAAGAAGTTTAGGAAGGATGTCATTCTGATTTACAGAACGGAATTTTTCTGTTTGCAAGGTGGAAGATTCCTTCAACCACCACAGAAAAAGAAACACCTGCAGAATCACTACCCTTTCCCAAAGTAGTAACGAAACTTAACCTCTCTCATGCACACAGCACGAGTGCAACCACATGAGATACCCCGTTCAACAGCAAGCTCTTCCAGAATGAGCCTTAGTGGGGCTCCTGGGCAGCTCAGTTAAACGTCCAACTCTCGGCTCAGGTCATGATCTCATGATTTGCGTTCAAGCCCCATGTTGGGCTCTGCACAGACAGCACAGAGCCTGTTTGGAATTCTCTCTCCCTCTCCCCTGCCCCTACCCCACTCATGCTTTCTGTCTCTAAATAAACAAATAAATGTAAAAAAATTAAAAAAAAAAAAAATGAGCCTGAGCTCCATGACACTTTAGCAACTGGTAGGTAGCAAAAGGAAAACTGAAAACCTGTTTGGAGCTGCTAGCTAACTACTGCAAAAGGAATGTTATCCATCCATACATATATGCAGCTTCATCCAATTTCTTTTTCAGGCTTACAAAACAGATGGAGTTAATTAACAAAGACAATACATATATGCATCATCCTGCAGCCATAAACCAGAAGGATGTCACAGCTTTAACTTCAAAGCCTCCCAGCAAGCACAGCCTGAGATATTTTTAGGCATCAGCTCCATTGTTTCAAAGAGGATATGGTTTGGTGAAATAAAATTGCCAAAAAGTAAAATTCACAGGACAACCTTGCTAGGATGAAGAGTGGCA